AAAGCATCTTTCATTGTTTCCATCAAACACAAAGCCTCCAGTGACGGTTGTTGTGCCGACCTGACGATGAAGTCCGAGTGCGCCTCGGTCATGATGTGCTTCTCAGAGCGAATGTGCTCCTGCTGCCTCGTGTCCACGATGTGACGCTTCTTCAGGATCTTCATGGCGAACGTCTTTGCCTCTTCGCTCTTCAGCTGCACCTGAACAAACACAACGGGTCGTAGAGGGCGTTAAGAGCTAGCGACACAGCTAGATACACCTGCATCAGTCAAACCCAGGAAGCTTTATTTTCTCGAGGAGGTCCAACACTTCCAGAGATGGTGACGTCCCCTCTGGGCTAAAGTTAGAACAACTGAGATTCAGTCGCTGCGTATCGCGCCACTTTCATAATTTCTCCAAGCTAAAAAAGCATGCTACTCTTGTTTTTGTTTAATTTTGAAAATCTTACTGGTCCACAGTCTTGTGCTCTCACATCTCATTTCATGTTTTAGATCATCACAAAGTTCAATATCAGACAAAGACAACAAACAGTGTTTAAAAGATCTTTTCATTTATTCAGGGAAAAAGTTACCGAAGCACATGGATGGTCATACTGGTAATAACTGGTTGTGCCATGATCGGCAGCAAGAACTGCAATCAAGTGTTTGTGATGTGTGAGTCGTTCTCATTGCTGTGGGGAACTTTGGCCCCTCTTGTTGAATCCAGACATTTTGGAGGAGTTTCACGCCAAAACATCTCGTCTGATTTAAGTCCGGACTTTGACTCGGCCGCTCTAAAACCTTCATTTTGGTTCCGGATCATTGTCCTGCTGCAGAACCAAGTGCTCTTCAACATCACCAAACAAACTGATGGGCGGACATCCTCCTTCAGGGTTTTCTGGTCGATTACGGCGAGCCGTCCTGGACATCACACGACGACCCCGGAGTCTGCCTGCCGCCGCGACGCTCTCTTTATGAAGCACTGTTAGTCTGATGTGACGGGACTCAGATCTTCCAGAACGTTCAGCTTCTGTCTCGTCAGTCCACAGAATATTTCCCAGAAGTCTCGGGAACCATCCAGATGTTTGGTGGCAGATGTGAGACGCGTCTGTGTGATGTCCCACGTGTGGGAAATTTGTTGTTAAGGCTGCCGACCTCTGCCAGCGCCATCTTACCCTTCTGACCATACAGACATTACACAAACATCACATGGGGATGACCTCTGACCTTAACTGAGCCCAGTGACGCCTGCAGGCTTCTATTTAAGTGATTTCTTGAGTCAGCTTTCCACAAAAGGTCACAGTCAGAGGGCACAGAGGGCAGATTTAACGAGGAGGGCAGTCATTTTCAGACTGGTCAGGTAGATACGAATAAGCTTTATTTAAATCCTGTACTCTGTAGTCTAGTCTAATATTAAACTTGTTCGATGGACAGAGTCAGTGTTACAAATATGCAAACACAAAGACGAGCAGAGGTCCGATACTTTCCCTGCAGCTCTGTCGGGGTCTGTCCCTCTGCTGGAAATCAGCTCTTCATTACATGTCGTAAACAGCGGAGCAGCTGCGTGGTGTCTCTGTGGCATCTGTGCCGTAAGCTCTCGCTGTAAACACCTCGCTGTGTGCTGTTCATAGACGATGACACAATCCTCTATTCCTGGACCGATTCCTCAAATTACGGTCCTGACTTCTTACTCCGACATGTCTGAGAGGTCACCCCCTCCTCAGTAACCGACACCATCGGTGCTGACGGAGAAACAGCAGCAGCTGGAAGCTTTTTCACTCAACACGGGAAAACTTCTGATAAAGGACTGTTTAGCTGAGCTGCTTCCAGGGTCAGTCGGTCGTCCGTGACTTGAACAGCGTTCAGCCGCTCTGCACCACTGATGGTTGGAAACTCGTGTTGTCCAACCTGTAAACTAAAGTCTTCTAACAACCTCAGGAACAACTGATTAGTTCTGAAGGACTGAACAGAATCACAGTGAGGACAACGGTAAACTGAACGTTAACATCAGATTTTGAAGTACTTCGTTTTCCTCTCTAATGCATCTGTGCAGTGCTCGGCTGGTTTCAGTGGGATGGAGGTCAGTCACCGTGGATCCATGTTCCTGATCCACGGGAATAAAGTGAAATCGAACACAAACAACGTTTCTGTTCTGACTTACGAGAACTCGCAGGTTGTGATAAATCTGGAGCTGTTTGGTGGGAATGCTGATGGCTCGGAGGCGTCACATGATTCGTAGTCTTTGCGGTGAGACAGTCGGGGGGTCAGAGGTCGGCTTTTTCCTTGGAGCAGAGTTACACTCCAAAAATATCCCCGGGGCAACGGTGGGAGACCCTGAGTGGGGATTCCTTCCTGCTTTTGGGCAAACCCTCCGCAGGGCTTCCCCTTTGACCTTTAGTACCTTCAGGCCCCGCCTCCTGCGGCAGAGAAACTCGACTCCCTGAGCTGCATTGCACCACCCGCTGCCTCCCCCCCGCTTACATTTTTCCATCATCTCAAACCTTCTCACTATGACCTGTTTTAATCAGATAAATCTGTGGATGAATTTATGATGCGAGGCGCCCTGAGGCCGGGGTCACATGTTTGATACCTGACAGATTTATTAGGACGGCAGGACGATCGCGACGCCGCACAGAAACTCTGAGGTTTCTGTGAACCTGCAGAGCCTGAATCACGACTCAAGTTTAAACTGATAATCACTCTTAAGCTGGTCCTGAATAATCATTAAAGTCTTATAACTCACCTGTTTGCATTATTAGGGGCGTGGCCTCTTTAACTGACAGGTGGATGGTGACACAGGTACCTGTAGCTGCTAGCTTCACCTGAGCGGTACCGCTGGACCATGTTTGTGCTGTTGGAGCCTTTTTAATGACATCATGTGACCAATAACATGGCTGCTGTGAGGTCACTGTACTAACAGACCAATTGAAGGCGGAGCTCCAGTTCAGCATTTTGGGGACATCATTGTGATGTATGAAGACGATCAAAGCACGAGCATTATCTGACTTAGAGCTCCGCCCTCTCGTCCACTTACTGGTGGCTCCAAAGAAAAGGCTGACACAAACGTAGGTGACATCACTGACATCTGATCTGTGGTTTCCACGGAAACCATCGTTTTGTTGTGGCCTTCCACAGTGAGTCTGCATCCACACATTCAGGTAAAACTACCTCCGACTCTCAGTGATGCACAGATGAATCTACTGAAATGTCAGATCATACCAGTTCGACGCGTCCGAAGCCTCCGACTCCCAGCGTGTCGATGATGTTGAAGTCAGCGAGTTTCAGACCGGAGAAGAAGGCGTTCTCCGCCTCGTACCTGAAACAAAAACACACATCACTAAACACAGGACATCGATCCCGGGACAAAACACCGGGCTTCAGCTTCTTCTTCCCATGCTAAATCCTGTCTGGCATTCCCAACGAGGGACCTGGTTTTACCTGCAGCATCTGACCACGTGGAAGAATGGGAACTTCTTTGATGTCTGGATGGAGTACGAGATGATGGGGAAGGAGAAAGAGGAGGGAGGAGCAGGGAGACTGGGGAGCCGCTCTCTCTGCTCCTTCGCTGGGACGGGAATCGGCTCTCTCATCGCCAAACTTTATTTGAACAGTGAATCCACTTGTTCAGGAATGTTGGTTTGGAATCATCCAGATGACGCTGACGGGAAGTTCGTAAGCTGCCCGACTTCTACGAGTCTGGAATCTGGTGTTGGTCAAACTACAAACGTGTGAACAAACAACTTCAGTCTTCACGAGAACGTTCGGCAAAGTGTCCGTAACAGAGCCGTCTCAAAGGAAGAGCTCCACCTCCAGATTACATGGTGAGGACAGGAGCGGGCGTTGGAGGTCCGGTGGTACCACAGGTGTGGAGACTTCGCTAGATCCTCCAGCTCCTCGTGCATCAAGGTTACAAACAAACCTGAACCCTGTAGCGCACCGCGTGAATCCGAGGATCACCTCAAAGGAAAGCTCGGCACCTCAGACACACACAGATCCAGGATCTGGACTCCAACTTTGTGGCGTCTGATTTTTAAAAAGCCCAACTGAGCATGCTCAAAGTGAAGTGTACGGAGGAAAGCCTCTGAGAGGTCTGCGTCTGCTCCGGCCGATCCCGCAGGGCGTAATGAGCTGAGAGGAGAACCTGCAGGAGGACGCTGCTGCTGCTGCTGCTCAAGTATTTTTAGCGCATGGAAACATTGCTGAGAGGTTCGCCTGTAAACGCAGCTCAGTCATTACAGGACAGACTGTCCTGACCTCTAAACCAGAGGACGCAAAGGTTTCAACTTCTCAGGTTGTTTAGGCGCTCTGCCCTTCACCCGTGGGGCGAGCCTCGCTTGTCTGCCAGGTTTGAATGAAATATGCTTCTGCAGCTGTGCTGTTGTGTAAACAGGGACCTGACTAGTTCCTGGAAGCTGTGGAATCAGATTACGGCAGAAACAGAAGCTGCTGCCGGTCGTTGGGACGAACAACGCAAACACTCTAAAATTAGTGCGAGGTCTTAAGTAAGAGATTTACTGTTAGAGCTCGCAGCCAGGATCAAATCCTACCTTCACCCTGCTGACGTGCCCTTGAGCAGAACACTGAACACACAGGATGAGAGAAGCTCAGTGTAAAGTAGAGCTGGTGTCACGCTGCAGAACAAGGTCTTTATAACTGCATTTGATCTCTATTAATATTTACAGTAACAATGAATTTATAGATACTTAGCTGTATTTAGTCTGGTAATGGAAAGAAGCACCTTTATTCTCTGATAAGAAGTAAAATAATGTTTGGTGATTAAACGATGGCGTAAACAGAGTACGAGCTGAGCGGCTGCTCTGCATGAGATAAAGAAGGATTATTTTACTCTGAGGTTCATGCTAAGCTGCTCTCATAGACTAAGAGGAAGCTTAACATCATCTTTAACTCATGGATGCATTAACTATTTTAAAGTGCTGTATAAATAAAGATGGATTGGTCCAGTGGACATCTGTGCTTTGGTCTGATGAGTCCAAGTTTGAGATCTTTGGTTCACGTGCTGTGTCTTTGTGCGACGCAGGAAAGGGGACCTGATGGTCTCTGCAC